CATTGTCACCAACGCCGGGCACGAGATCCTGTACTACAACCCGCGACCGCTACGCCATCTACCAGCGCGCCATCGAGGGCAAAGGATGTCGCGACCGGCAAGAAGGCCATTGGCAACGGGGCCAAGTACGCAACGAGCGGGCCAAAGGACATTCGGGGCACGCGCACGCCGCTGCCCCCCAAGGCGCCCGTGTTCTGCTACACCGCCAGCACGCCCATCGTTCGGGGCCAGTGTACAGATGCGCAGATTGCGGCGCTGGCGGACGGGACGGCCGTCGTGAAGGATTTTGTCGTTGTGCAGCCTGCGTGGAGCGGGTAGGAGACGGGGGTAAGGTTCATAACAGAAGCGTCTGGAAAGGGGAACATACACATATGGAAGTGACAGGCTTCAGCTCGAACATGCCAACTGGATGACTGACGGCCAGGGGCGACGGCCAGGTGGCGCTTTAAACAGAGGCGCGTTATTGCTCATGGCCGTCGCAATAGTGTAGCTAGTGAACCATCGATAGATAGGCTTTGTTCAGCATGGCAAATGGGACGCACAGATTTACGCGATGAGCGGACAGACTACACGTAGTTCGTACAAGCAGCAAGCATGGCGAAGTATTCAAGGTGGTCAAGTATGCATCATGTCGGTTCATTGTTGGTCTACACCAAAAACAGGCATCTATCCTGATGATGGGCAGCGCCCTCATCTCCCCCTCGCCGCGTCGCTAGTCCATATGTATGCATTCAAAAAAACCTTTGCCGCCTCATTCGTTCGCAAGCAAGTAAAATAGCCTCCTTCTCGCTGGGGGAAAAAGGTCATCAACGCCAAAGCCACTCTCTATTATGGCTCCCATCATGAGTCGTTACGTATTGAAAGCCGTGGTATCAGATCGAATCAGTCGTACATGGAACGCCTTGGCTGAGCGTTCATGGGCCCAGCCGGGTGAGTTTTTCGGAAAATAGCAAGTATCGTCATCCGATGAGTCAAAAAGTCTTCGTCGTCGATCTTGGAGATTGTTGCAGACAAGCTCACAAGAAGCCGCCTTCGGTAAAGCCAACGCCGGCTCGCCAGCCACATCGCTTCTCCCATTCCTCACGGTCCATGTCCCGATGGCGCGGGGGGGCGCCTCTAGCGTTTAAAGTACCCCTCGGTGCTGGTGATGGATTTCGGTCGAACTCGATGCTCTCGCGACTGCTCCCGCCGCTCACGTTCGTCTGGACTAAGAGTAAGCTGCTGGTGCTGGAGAGGCGCTTGGTAAACTCGGTGAAGCTCAGCCGCTTGGCACTCGAAGTGGACTGGCGCTTCTCCTGGTTCGGCCGTGAGCCTCCATCTTCGGAAGTCTTACCGGATGATGGCATTGGGACGTCCAGTCTGCCCTGTGGTACAAGCTGGGGTTGACTGTGTGTTCTTTGCGCGACGCTAGGGCGGAGCTTCGAGTGGGCGGTATGGGGCCTGGATGGGGCCTGCAGAGGTGTTTCGTGGTTCGTAGTGCTTCTTGTGGTGGGTGACTGAGAGGCCGACTGCTGCTGCTGATGCGCCAGTGATTGCGAAGAGGTGCGCTGCTGACGCGGCGGGCCTGCGAGATAGTTTAGAGCCCGCTGCGCATTGGGTGGGATGAGTGTTTGGCGGTTTCCGTCAGCTTCGTGAGCATATCCGTCCGACGACGAGTCTTCGTCGTCCTCCTCCTCAGCCGAAGAGCTGTCATCGACATCCCAGGCACTTTGTAAGGCTGCTCGCTCCGTCTCCTTTCGCTTCTCTATCTGCTGACGCTTTTCGTCTGCCTCGCGCATCAGAGCATCAAAGCGAGCCAGTGAGGTTAGTTTCTCCTCTCCGGGCACCTCCCGTTCCGAGCCGGGGATGCAGCGAAGCTGGAAAGCTCGGTCGAGGATTGTCTCTCGTGCTGCGGGTGGCGAGCTAGAGTTGATAGCTGCGGGGTGTAAGGCCTGAGAGCTAACACTTCCTCGACCTCGGATTGGTGAGCTGACGGTCGAAGATCGTCCCTGCGCAGCGGTCCAACCCTCAATCAGCTCGCCTTGCTGATACTCGCCCACAGTGGCCACTGGGGATGGAATGTCAGTTGGGAGGACGGTCGTGTATTTGTTGAGATCGGGCATGGCATAGCCCATGTGCGCAGGGTGTGAGGCACTCGAAGGAGACGATATATCACTTCGCTTGGAACGCAGGCTG